TTTAGAAAAGTGTCTATTCATGTCTTTTGCCCATTTCTTGACTGGATTACTTGTTTCTTGGATGTTGAATTTGATAAGTTCTGTATAGATTTTGGATACTAACCCTTCATCTGATATGCCATTTGCAAATATTTTCTCCATTCCATCAACTGCCTTTAGTTTTGCTTAAAATTTAATTTTTAGAGCAATTTAAGATTCATAGCAAAATAGAGGAGAGGGTACAAAGATTTGCCATATACCTCCTGTTGTCACACATGCAGAGCCTCCTCTTTTATCCACATCCTGCACCAGAGTGGTACATTTGTTATAATTAATGAACTTATGTTCTCATCGTAATCACCCAAAGGCTATGGTTTACACAATGGCTCAATCTCGGTGTTGTACAGTCTATAGATCTGGGTAAATGCATAATGACGTGGATCCACCCTTACAGTATTACAACAGAGTATTTTCACTGCCCTACAAAATTCTCTATGCTCTGCCTATTCGTCCCTCTCTTCCCTCCAAAACCTGGCAAATACTGATCTTTTTACTGTCTCCAGAGTTTGCTTTTTCAGAATATCATATAGCTGAAGTCATACAATGGAGTCTTTCAAATTGTTTCTTTTACTTACTAACATGCATTGAAGTTTCCACTGTATCTTTTCATGGCTTGTGAGCTCATTTATTTTCAGTGCTAAATAATGTTCCATTATCTGGATGTAGCATAGTTTATTTGTGCGTTCACTTATGGAAGGACATCTTGGTTTCTTCCAAATTTTGGCAGTTATGAATAAAGCTGCTATAAACATCAGTGGTATCTGAAAGGAAAGAGCTGGAAAAATTAGAAAATCCTCAGAGAAGGTGACGATCATCATCATCATATAATAATTAAACCAATAATGGACAGCCTATCCTGTACCAAATCCTGGGCTTTGTGCTGGTAACATAAATATATAACATAGTTCTTGGTTTAAAGGAGATTGCAATCTACTGGAATAATCAGAGACAAAAAGATACTTATGATTCTATGAAGAGAAATGAGAGAATAATCTATGGGCCATATGGAAACCCCAAAGATTTAGAGTCAGTGAAGATTGGATTTATTCCCAAATGAGGTGACACTTGAAGTGTGTCTCATTACTAATTTTTACATTGAAATTATATCCAACTTGCAGAAAAGTTGTACACACAGTAAAAATAACTTCTTTTTTTTTCTATTCGACAGTAAGTTGCCAACATTATCCTCATCATCCAATAATACTTTATTGTGTTTTACCTACCAACAAGGACATTCTCCTAAATAATCAAAATGCAACCATCAAAATCGGGACACTAACATTATGATTACTATCTAATCCTTATACCTCATTAAAGTTAATTGTCCCAGTAATGTCCTTTATAGCAATATATCCAGTTCCAAATCATAATTTGAATTGAATTTTTACATATCTCTAGTCTCTTTAAATATGGAAGAGACAAAGAAAACCAGTTCAACTAGGGATTTGGGAGGTACCTATGGTACAATAAGATGTCTAGCAAGTAACTGTACATGATAAAAATATTGGCCTCAGCTGAAAATTATAGCTCTTTTTGAGGTACCTGAGGGGCTCACTTGGTTGGGCATCTGACTTCAGCTCAAGTCATGATCTCGTGGTTCACGGGTTCGAGCCCCAGATTGGGCTCTGTGCTGACACCTCAGAGCCTGGAGCCAGCTTCAGATTCTGCATCTCTGCATCTGTCTCTCTGTCCCTCCTCTCTTGTGCTCTGTCTCTCTCTGTCTCTCTATGTCTGTCTCTCTCTATTTCTGAAAAATTAAATAAAAACATTAAAAAAAGAAAAAAGTTATAGCTCTTTTCCAATAAAATGTAATCAAATGAGTGTGTTGATTATCACTGCTAAAACGAATTTTTTTTCTGAAACTTTGTACTGAAGAGGTGAAAGAAAAAGAGGCATACAGCTTCATTTGTGGCAAACTAACTTTCCCCTGAGAACAGTTAGAAAAGGCAGTTATAGTACATAAAACAACTGTTTGAAGGCATAGATGTTCAGCACAAACCCTTTTGCTATTCAAGGAGATGCTAGAAGCTGTAAGTTCTCTCCCAATTGTATGTTGCTGTCCTGGATATAGGGTTTATGATGAGAGCATGTCTCAGCTTTTTCTACTGATAGGGATGTATCTTCTCATTTGGCAGATATACAGCTAGTTTCTAGATTTTCTTTCAGAAGAAAGTGATTCATGAGTTGCTGTAGATTTAGTAAGTTCATGGGAGAGGGTGAATTCAGGAGTCTTCTATGTTGTCCTCTTAGACTGAAACTCCATTTTTTAAAAATTGAATTTTGAGCCCTGAGTTGGGCTCTGTGCTGACATCTCAGAGCCTGGAGCCTGCTTTGGATTCGGTGTCTCCCTCTCTCTCTGACCCTTTCCTGCTCATGTTCTCTCTCTCTCTCTAACACATAAAGAAATATTTTTAAAAATTTTAATTGAGTATTAAATTATTTATTCCCATTCTTTAATTTTTACTGTTGGAGGTATCTAATGCTATAAATTGTGCTCTGATCACTACTTTAAATGTATCCATAGCTTCCATTATCTATTAAGTCCTTGAGCTGTAGTCCGTGCTTTGATCTACACTGATACTTTTAACAAGTATTTGCAGATTTAGGGTTCACTTGGTCTTTTTGGTGATGGTCTTAGATTAACATTATGTCTATCATTAGTTTCCTTCTTCTCCTGTGCAGTTTTTCTCAGTCTGCCTTGGATTGGGGCTGTATGGGGTAGGAATATAAGGGATCACACTCTGGTGTGGGGTGTTTTTGTTTTTACTTATGGTATTATGAATATCTACTGAGGACACAGATGCAAAGGCTTAAACTGTAGCCAATCTGAATCTTGGTTGAATGCTTTGTGATCATCCTAGAGCACAGGAGAATGGAAGGTGTTGCTAGAAGGCCATGTCCCACTGGTCCTTTTCTCTCCCACTGGATGCTGTCACAGGGACAGTTTCTCTTTAGCTCACAGGTTTTGATAATGTCATGGCTTTCTGCCTTAATCCCCACAGCTGCATACTATAAAAACACTTCACTACCCTCTAGAATAGGCTCCTGAGTAATGAGGCATCCCACAACATTGAAGTCACCAGCCTCTTTTGCTTCAGTATTTTTACTGGTTTATGTAAGGATATATCCCTTACCTCACAGGTAGAAGATATAAATGAATGGAGAGACTTCCTATGTTAAAGTGTACAAAGACAGACTAATATAGATATGGCATTTCTTCCCAAATCTATCTATAGATATATGAAACTGCAATCAAAATCCTGGAAGGATTTTTTGTGTGTGTGGCAGTGAAGCAGATTCTAAAATTTCTATGAGAGAGTAAATGACTAAAATTACCAAGAAACTCTCAAAGGAGAAGAATGAACATAAGGTTTATCTTGACAGATACTGAAACTTAATATAACATTATAACATTAACAGAGTATAGCATATGTAAGGACCAACAGATTGACCAATGGCATATGAAGAGATTCTAGAAATGCAGTTGTGTATAGATATACTTAATAATATGCTGGGGGTAGCATGGCAGATCAATGGTGAAAGCGGAACTGTTCAGTACTTGGAGCTGGCAAAATGGTTAACCACATGGAGTAAAATTTAATAGCAGCCCTACAGCAGTGTCTATGGAGATGGATTGAGGATTTCAATGTTAAATACAACATGCAAAACTTTAAAACTTTCAGAAGAAAATGAAGGGAAATCTCGTTGTAACTTTAGAGTAGAGAAGAGTATCTTACTCAAGGTACAAAGAGAACTGGACCACAAAATTAAAATAAGATTGACAATCTTAAAATTTACAACTAACAATTACCATGCTATACCTTCAGAAAAGAGAATATGTAAGCCACAGAATTGGAGACTACATCTGTCATCTGAAATACCTGTGAGCAAAAGAGGAATTGAATTCTACAGTCTATAAGTTACTATGACAAATCAATAAGAAAAAGACAAAAGCCTATAGAAAAATGGGCACACGACACAATGGGTATTTTTTTTTATTTATTTATTTTTTAAATGTTTTATTTATTTCTAGGAGAGAGAGAGACAGCGTGAGCAGGGGAGGGTCAGAGAGAGAGGGAGCCGAGCCGGCAGCCAGCACAGAGCCCGACGCGGGACCCGAACCCACGAACCGCGAGACCATGACCCAAGCGAAAGTCGGACGCCCAACCGACCAAGCCACCCGGGCGCCCCCACAATGGGTATTTTTAGAAGACTAATACAACTTATGGCCAATAAGTATGAGGAAAGACGCTTTGCCAAAATAATAACCAGGGAAATGCATACCATAAAGAGATACCCATTATTGCCTATTTGAGTGAAAAGAAGGAGGATGAGAAAGAAGAGGAGAAAGATGAAGTTTGACAATTAGAGAAATAAGAGGCATTTCTAATATATCGGTGATGGGACTATAGTGAGCCATCTACTCTGAAAAACATTCTAACATTGTATCAGTACTTGCACACTCACATACATCCTGACTCAGCAATTCTACTTCTAGTTGTGCACCCAAGAGGCTCTCTTACAAATACACACCAGAAGACTGAAAATCAATATTCAAGGTAACATGGCTCAAATAGCAGAAAATAACATGTTGCCCCCAAATAATAACAACAAAAACAGATAAATCAGAGATGTGGAGTACAGATGGCATTTCTCCAGTACCTGAATATAGTCATGTGTGAGTCTGGTTCTCAGTCTAGACTTCCGAGTGACATGATCCACTTTTCTTGTTTAAACTAAACTGGTTCTCTTACTTTCAGTTAAATCAGTTTCTATTACATCAGGGAATGTCTAATCAAAATCTAAAACATTAGACTTTAACATATTCAATGACTAAAAATATCAAAGTATTCCCATCAACACCCGTGCATGCTTTGATGACAAATTTCAAGATGGCACTGATATGAAGGAGGTTTGAACATACTCATCCCACAATTGCAAAAAAGCTAGAATTAAACAACCTGAAAGGGCATATCTCTGTTGCTTATTTACCAAATTCCCAACAGCCCAACTCCTGGGGATCCATGAGAAAAGTCTGTCTTTTAACCAGGAAAAATCTGAAAAGATAAAAATCACATTCTTAATTTGCCACAAGAGAGACCCTCCCCCCACTGAACTAATGCATAGTTTATCAAAAGTGTGCTTAGACTTAACCCCATTTTCCCAGTAGAAATATTGTTAGATATTGTGATTAGATTCCTAGGTCAGATACAGACTGCAATCCTAAGCCATTTCATGCTTGATGCTGCTGGAACACACTGTACCCAGAATGAAAATAATAGGAAAAATTCATGAGGTCATTGAATACATTACCATGTGATTGGGTTCATTTTAAAGGCAAGGAAAATTAAAAAATAAGATGGCTAGTGAAGGACAGCTGAGTTTTGTGACGATTCCAAGGGAGAACCTTGCATTTTCAGAGATTTTAAAGTTGCTAGTGTGATCTAACTTCATTTGGGACTTCCCTTTTCTAAAATCACATATACTAGCAGCACTATTCATTTTTTTAAAAAAATTACTCCACTTTAGGGTTACATTTTGACACATAAGTGGAACAACAGAAGAGAAAGACGGAAGAGGTTTTAACATAAATAAATGGAGAAATGTAAAGAAAGATGAAAGAACAGGTAAATTAAAGAGGCAAGTTTCCTCACCGTAAGAATGACCTGTTATTGAAAGTGAGCTCAGAAAAAAAAAAAAAGGTTTCAACAGGCTTTTTCATTGGGAGTGAATAAAGAGGTGGTAGGGAGGAAAACTAGGGTTAACTGGATTTTTGCACAAGACTGTGCTACTAAGAGAACATTCCATATTTTGTAGGGAATAGCGATCTTCTAAGTAGGTAGAAGAAAAGAAGAGAACAACTGATTGTATCCACCAGACACTTGTATATTAGGTGTTGAGATGTGAAGACTATGATTTCACCCCAAATCCCAAATAAAAACCTGTCTGCCATCCTAGCCAAATGTATCTTCATTCCTAATCTCCCTTCCTCACCTGGGTTAGCAGGCAACATTGTGGAAGTCCATTCCTCCGTGGTAAACTGCCTCACTTGGTTGTCTTTCATTTGACAGGATTCTGGCTCTTTAGCAAACACCACACAACAGAATGGCGCTATTTTGAGTGCACAAACATATCCACAAATATTTCCTTCATCATATATTTCGAGGAATTTGCATGAGTAATTTATCTCCTTCTTCTCCCTACAAAAGTGATAGATAGGCAACTCCCTAATGTATTTTTTTATCTCTGTTTCTAACCAGTTAAAATCTTCCACTCTTGTTTTAAAGCCAATTACTTCTTTTTCTTCATTTAAAACAATAAACAAATATCCCCCATCAGTATTTGCAAAAGCAGAAACATAATGAGGGAGGATCTCTTTAACGCGTTGTAAGCACTTTCCTGTTGAGAAGGCTTTCATTTCATCATGTGTGGATTCAGTAAAGGGAACTTTTTCTCTGTACCTAAGTTGTGTCCTGTTAAAAAAGGCATCAGCCAAGCCCTTTATGTCACTCTTTTTTTGTACATCTGCCTGTGGAAGCAATTTAGGTCCAGATAATCTTCTTCCAGTTTTGCTGTTGGCCTTGAGGATCTCCAGTGTATCAGTGACACGCATCATATTTGTACATGTTACATCCGTTCTGTACATCTTGGTCTTCAAGGTGACAATCTGTAAACCAGAGGTTTCTGAGCTCCATGAGTTGACAAAAATGTGAAAGTATTTACCTTGCTGTATAAAGGTTAAGTAGTTAGGAACAGATGGAAAAATATTTACAAAAGATTTTTCCAAATCTTGTCCTATTCCATCTCGTTGGTAACTATAGTTTTCATTCTCAATTTCAGCCTTGATTATTCCCCCTATAGAATCCAGCAAAGTAATCACAGCTTTTAAGATGTTTTCATTCTGCTTTTTTCGCAGTTGACAATCTTTCATTTCGTTTCTGTTCTTCACCTCAAGAGTCTTCCCACATTTAAAACCAGCCCAGCAGAGTTAATTTCCAAATAAACATTACTGCTCATTTTCCCAGTAGCCATTCAATTTCCAAGCAGAAATCCTTTCCTGGAAAACAAAAGAGCCATGAGTGTAAAACCTGAACACAAGAGACAGCAAATTTTGTATGCTGAGGTTAAGCCAGTTCAATCTTTTGCTGTATATATTCCACTAGATGCTACAGAAAAGAATAGGATGAAAACTTTTTTGTGGACAGATTTTGAGCTAAGAGTATAAGAATTTCTCCTCCTGTGAAATTTTCAATATTTGTTTGTAGGTAACACTTTTAAAAATAATCTCTACCCCCAATGTGAGGCTTAAACTCACAATCTCGAGATCAAGAGACACATGTTCTACCAACTGAACCAGTCAGATGCTTAAAATTTTCAATTTTTTGCCATAGTTTTATATGACCCTCTTCTAATTGTTTTTGTTTCGTCTTCATCTGTGTTTTTATCCCTTTTTGAACCCCTTATTTTCTTTCTCATTCTTTTCAATAAGCCCCTGTGGGGAGCTTATTTATGTTTTTGATCTTCTCAGTGAAACAAATTTTATATATTACTTATACTTTTATTTTTAATTGATTCCAACTTTTACCTTAATTTCCTCATTTTAGTGGGGAATCTTTCAGGAAAATTCACAGTTAGGGTCTAAAGACATCCAGCCTTCTGCCATGTTAATAAAATTTCCATCTTGCAAGGATGAATTATATTCACAAATTTTGGCCAATTGATCTTAAGCAAGGTGGGCCAAGTTACTGTACTCTCTTCCTATCAGATATCCATATTTTCAGTGAGGTAAAATTCTTCTATACCAGATGTCTGCTTTAGTATAAGTGTCCCCAATCCATTAGTTCTGTCCCTTTAAAGTCTACTGGGGTCACAGCTTTGCTATACATGGCTTAGAGATAGTTGAGAGTAAGTGTATCACAGGCAGGAATCACTACACTAGACTAGGAAACATCATAAATGGGTCAGAATATTTTTGTCTCCTGTTGCTGGACCAGTATCCTGCAGAGGCTCAGCCTATCTGCTGTGAATGTCAACTCTGTTTCTATAAATTCCTGGTCCTATGAAAACAACAGTTATGAATTGAATATTTGGGACCCTCCACAATTCATTTAACCCTAATTAAAACTCCAGCTCTTATCATAGAGCTGTCTATTTTTCTCAGAATTCTATTAAATATTTGGTTTATATGTTTACGGGCTCTGATATTTGATGTGCAAATGTTTACAGGTATTACATCTTTTTAGTGAACTCCTCCTTTTCTCATTATATAACGTCTTCATCCCTTATAACCACTTTTGATTTATTATTTTTTTAAACTCTCAAGTTTTATTTATTTTTATTTTTAACTTTTACAAATAGTTTATTGTCAAGTTGATTTCCATGTAACACCCAGTGCTCATCTCCACAAGTGCCCTCCTCCATGCCCATCTCCCCCCTCCCCCCACACACCCATCAGTCCTCAGTTTGTTCTCAGTATTCAAGAGCCTTTCATGGTTTGCCTCTCTCCCTCTCCCCCACTATTTCCCCCCTTTTTCTCCCCATTGGTCTTCCGTTAAGTTCCTCCTAATCCTCCTATATGTGCAAACGTATGGTATTTGTCCTTCTCTGCCTGACTTATTTTGCTCAGCCTAACACCCTCAAGGTCCATCCATGTTGCTATACATGGCCAGATTTCATTGTTTCTCATTGCCATGTAGTATTCCATCGTATAGATAAGCCACATCTTCTTGATCCATTCGTCTGTTGATGGACACCTAAGCTCTTTCCATGTTTTGGCTATTGTTGAGAGTGCTGCTATGAACATTGGGGTACATGTGCTCCTATGCATCAGTACTCCTGTATCCCTTGGGTAAATTCCTAGCATTGCTATTGCTGGGTCATAGGGGAGTTCTATTGTTAACTTTTTGAGGAACCTCCACACTGTTTTCCAAAGGGGCTGCACCAGTTTACATTCCCACCAACAGTGTAGGAGGGTGCCCATTTCTCCACATCCTCGCCAGCATCTAGAGTCCTCTGATTTGCTCATATTAGCTAACCACTTTTGATTTAAAGTTTAATTTTGTTTGATATTAGTGTAGCAACCTCTGTTCTCTTTTGGTTACTAGTTGAATAGAAGAACTTTTTCCATCTTCTACCTCCATCTTAATGATGTCCTTAGACCCAATGTGAGTCTTTTGATACAAATGGCCAACATCATGTAGGAAAAACCAAAGTGAGATAAAACCTCACATCTACCAGAATGGCTAAAATTAAAAAGACGAGAAATAACAAGTATTGGCAAGGATGTAGAAAAAGACAATCCGTCGTGCACTGTTGGTCAGACTATAACTTGGTACAACCACTGTGGAAAACAATATAGCAGTTCCTCAAAAAAATGAAAAAAATAGGGGCACCTGGGTGGCTCAGTCGGTTAAGCGTCCAACTTCAGCTCAGGTCATGATCTCATGGTTCGTGGGTTCAAGCCCTGCATTAGGCTCTGTGCTGACAGCTAGCTCAGAGCCTGGAGCCTGTTTCAGATTCTGTATCTCCCTCTGTCTCTGACCCTCCCCTGTTCATGCTGTCTCTCTCTCTCTCTCTCTCTCTCTCTCAGAAATAAATAAAAAAACATAAAAAATAAAATAAAATAAAAATAAAAAAACAAAAATACCACATGACACAGTAATTCTACTATTGGGTATCTACCTAAAGAAAGCAAAAACACCAATTTGAAAAGATATATGCACTCTTATGTTTATTGCAGTGTTATTTATAATAGCTGAGATATGGACATAACCTACGTGACCACTGAGAGAAAAAAAGATAAAGAAGATGTGGTACACACACACACACACACACACACACACTGGAATATTACTCAGCCATAAAAAGGATGAGATTGAGTAATTTGTGATAACATGGATGGACCTAGAAATTATTTCATTAAGTGAAATAAGTTAGACTGAGAAAGAGAAACACTGTATTATTTAATTTTTATGTGGAATCTGAAAGAAAGAAAGAAAGAAAGAAAGAAAGAAAGAAAGAAAGAAAGAAAGAAAGAAAGAGAGGGAGGGAGGGAGGCGGGAAGGAAAGAAGGAAGGAAGGAAGAGAGGAAGAGAGAAATAGAGTGAGCAAAATCATACCTGTAAATACAGGGAAAAAAAACAACCCTGATGATTGCCAGAGATAAGGGAGTTCGGAGAATTGGTAAAACCGGTGAAGGGGAGTGGGAGATTCAGGTTTCCAGTATGGAATGAATAAGTCATGGGAATAAAAGGCATAGCATAAGGAATACAGTCAATGGTATGTATGTTACAGATGGTAGTTACATGTGCAGTGAGCAAAGCATAATGTAGAAACTTGTCAAATCATTATGTTGTTGTATACCTGAAAGAAATGTACTATGTATGTCAGTTACCCTCAATAAAACAAATTTAATGACAATAATGTAAAATAAATAAAGTGAGTCTTTTTTAAACAGCACATCAATGAATCCCGGTCTTTAAAATCTATTCTGTTAATCTATGTCCTTTGCTTGCCCTGGGTAATTTACGCTGAAGGTCGTTACAGATAGTGAAGGACTTCCTACTGCTATTTTGTTGTGTTGTCTGTACGTGTTCTAGCTTTTTTTTTTTTTTTTATCCCTCATTTCCTTGCTTACTGCCTTCCTTTGTGTTTATCTAACTTTCCCACAGTTTACCTTAGGGTTCATTCTTACTGTGGTACTTTCCGGCTGTCTGGACAAATGTATAATAACACATATCCATCATTATGCTATCACACAGAGTGGTTTCACTGCCCTAAATATCCTCTGTAGTCTGCCTATTCTTCTAGTCCCAACCCCCAATCCCTGACAACTACTGAGCTTTTTGCTATCTCCGTAGTTTTGCTTTTTCTAGAGTGTCATATACTTGGAGTCACACAGTACATAACCTTTTTAAATTGGCTGCTTTCACTCAATAATATGCATTTATGTGCACTTAAGAGTCCTCTGGAAGGACATCATGATTGCTTCCAAATTTTGGCAATTATGAATAGAGCTGCTAAAACATCCATGAGCAGGTTTTGTATGAATATAAGAGTTCATCTCCTTTGGGTAAATACCAAGAATCAAGATTGCTGGATTATATGATAAGAGAATGTTTAGTTTTATAAGAAACTGCCAAACTGTCTTGCAATGTGGCTATCCCATTTTACATTCCACCAGCAATGAATAAGAGTTCCTGTTGCTCCATATCGTTGTCAACATTTGATGTTGTCAGTGTTCTGGATTTGAGCCATTCTAGTAGGTATGTAGTGTTATCCCATTGCATTAATTTCCATTTCACTGATGACATATCATGTAGAACATATTTTCTTTTTTTTTTTCCTTGTATTTTATCTTGACCACTGATAGTTCTTTTTTTTTTTTTTTACAAATAGTTTATTGTCAAATTAGTTTCCACATAACACTCAGTGCTCATCCCCATGAGTGTCCTCCTCTATGCCCATCCCCCCCTCCCCCCCACATCCATCAGTCCTCAGTTTTTGTCAGCATTCAAGAGTCTCTCATGGTTTGCCTCTCTCCCTTTCCCCCACCATTTCCCCCCTTCTTCTCCCCCTTGGTCCTCCGTCAAGTTCCTCCTAATCCTCCTATACGTGCAAACATATGATATTTGTCCTTCTCTGCCTGACTTATTTCGCTCAGCATAACGCCCTCAAGGTCCATCCATGTTGCTACACATGGCCAGATTTCATTGTTTCTCATTGCCATGTAGTATTCCATCGTATAGATAAACCACATCTTCTTGATCCATTCATCTGTTGATGGACACTTAGGCTCTTTCCATGTTTTAGCTATTGTGGAGAGTGCTGCTATATCATGTAGAACATATTTTCGTATGCATATTTGCCATCTGTATATCTTCTTTAGTGAGATATTTGTTAGTCTTCAGCTCATTTGAAAATAATTTTTAATGTTTCTTTATTTTGAAGAGATGGGGGAAGGACAGAAAGAGAGTGAGGGAGATACATAATCTGAAGCAGGCTCCAGTCTCTGAGCTGTCAGCATGTAGTGCGATGTGGGGCTTGAACTCGCA